CCCCAAAACCCCAAAACCCCAAAACCCCGTGGAGCACTATCAATAAATTTTCGTTGAAATTTATATATTGAGGTTAAGCAATTAAGCGAAAATAAATAAATGGATTTTAGTTAGTTAGCCGCTGAAGTCAATTTCAAAGACAAAAAACAATTGTAGCAGCTAGTTGATAAATAAAAATTACCACCACTATATTAATGATGATAAGAAGGACCAAATCAATTGTAAAATAGACTTCAGGATTCGATGATGCTTTAAAATAACAATATACAAAGACAATCAATAGAATCGCTACCTTAAATTTAAAACATAAGTAAATTATCATAAGGACCAAGGAGATCTACAATGCTCGAAGATTTTTAGTTATATAAATCCAGAAATCTCTATGATCAAATTCCTAAAAATCCATTGCTTTCATCAAGCTAGGATTAGTTTGTTATTAACAATACTCTATCATAGCTACTTCATTACAACACATCTCCATCTTAAAGTATGCAGACTTATTAGAGATATACAGATAATCTCAATCAGTAAAATATTTCGCTCTCTAATGCTAAAGCTTTGGGTTAAAACTAAATGGAATACAAATCACCATTAGGAGTTCGAGTTAATGCTAACGACTTGATTGGATTTGATTACAATAACTTTTTTAACTAAATCAGATCTAATAGCGCATAAAAGATTCATTAACAAGCCTATTAGGATCCTTTATCTAATGACGTTCAAGCACTATAAATGCAGAATATGTATATGTCAAGAGTAGAACGCGAGTGATTGCTAAATAAATACTTGCAATTTAAGAAGCTTGCTCAATACGATTAGAGTTACTATGAACAAAAGTAAAAGCATAAGGAATTTATTCTTCAGTAACTAAGAGGTTAGGCAGCATTAAAAAGGATATAAGATTAACATATAATGAGATAATAGTTACTCACTTAACTCCAAAATTAAAACAGTATTTAAAATCAAAGAGTGATTAATGTAAATTAGCCAATTCAGTTTTAAAATCAATCTGTTTAACAAAATTAAAACTCTCAGAATCCAACATCTATCACAATCAGATCATCTGGTGTAAATTCTCAACTTATGATTCAAAATATTTTGGAATAAACTTTGCAACCTTTAAAATCATTAGATTCCCTCAAATTCACGAAGGTTATTAATGATGCAGCTTCATAAATTACAGCTGAACTGCTAAGGAAGTCAAGACAAGGTAAAGAAAATGAAGATCAAACAAGATTAAGTAGGAATACTAATCATGAAACAAACTATGATAGAACTCAATCAAATTTAAGTGGTAGTAGCAAAAGAAAGCTGAAGCCAGAAGAGTTCATTCAAAATCTTCTAGGTAAAGCCAAAACTTAAAAATAAAGGTAGAATCTTTTGATAAAAGCACTTTTATCATAAGTTGATAAAAACAAAGCTAGAAGCCAAAAATCAAATGCATCTTAAGAAAAAATTGAAGACCTGGATTAAGCAACACTTAGTATTTAGAACGACTCTCCTTATCCTTAGAGATAAAAATCTCAACCTAGAAAAAAGGAGAGTAGTTCATAAAATACAGGTTTATTAGGCAAGGGCCTTGGAAAATCTTTGAAATTAAAAATTAGCAGGACAAAGTAGAACACTCCTAGCTAACCATCATCTAGAAATATGAGAAAGTAAATTGCTAATTAAATTCTAAAGAAAGCTGAAATTATCAAGACACCCTCGCTTGAAAGTTCATAACACATTCAAATACCACAAAATAAATCTTTGGAATTTTTATCATAAAGTTTCAAGAAAAAAGTTAGTTTTAAAGAAGACAAGGATGGAAACTCTTAGAATTAAAAAAATCAATAGGATAATAATATATCTCGAGACAGTCTTCCAAGAATAAGTTCATTAGCCTTGGCATTAAAAGAGGCTAAATTAAAAAAGTAACAAGAATTAGAAGATTAGCAAAAATTGCAATAGTAATAGTAATCAACAATATAATAAGATTAGATTCAGTAACAAAAGTCAATAAAAATTGAATAAAATGTCAATAGACTTCTAGCATAATATCTTTCTTAAAATGCTATCAAAACCCTCCCTTAAGGTTAAAAGTTGGCTATAAGTAATCTCAATATCCCTACCTCTAAGCAAGAAGCTTAATACTCGTCAAGAAATAAATTGTCTGCTAGAAAATTCTAATCTGAAAAAATAACTGAAGATAGATTATGATGAACAAAGAATTGTTAATAGGTAGTTAGATATGAACATAGCTTTTAAAAAAGCATTACATCTAATGGAAAATAAGAAAATTTATAAAACCTTAATGAGGGACTATAAGAAAAGCTTCACTTTATTACTTCATATAACTAGAATTTAATTTTAAGTTAAATACTAAAAAAAAAATATAATTCTAATATTGATAACAAATATTAGGTAGGGGTTTTGGGGTTTTGGGGTTTTATAAAT